GTACCTGCCTCGGCGAGGGAGGGGGGAGGGGGGTGACCCGGCGCGGAGGAGCCCCACGGCGAAGGAAAATCGCTTCGCCTGCGCAGGGCGCCGTCCTCCCCTCCCCCCTCCGTCATTTCGCCCTCGCGTTTCGCTTCTGTCACAGCCCCCCAGATGCTGCACCGCTGCCGTTCATTCCAATATTCCAGCGCCCTTATGCCCCTCCACCGCCGCCGTTGTCGTTACCACTAACTACGCGGCCCGGTCTACCGCTCTGCTCTTCGTATGACGTAATGTTCTATCCGGCCTCGTTCCGCAAACCCCGCTTCTTCGACATCACTCCAATCCAACACCCCTCCCTTCCCGCATCTCTCCAATCCAACACCCCTCTCTTCCTACATCCCTCCAATCCAACACCCCTCGCTTCCTACGTACCTCCAATTCAACACCTGTCCCTCTGACATCACTCCAATCCAACATCCGTCCCTCCAACATCACTTCAATCCAACACCCGTTCCTCCGACATCACTCCAATCCAACACCCCACCCCTTGTACATCTTTCTGATCCAACACCTCTCACTTCCTGCATCCCTCCGATATAACATTCCCTCCATACCCCCATTCCAACACCTCTCCCCTTATACATCCCTCCAATCAAATACCCTTCCCCCTCCTACATTCCTCCAACTCTACACCCTACCCCTTCGACATCACTCCAAACCAACTTCCCTCCCCTCTTACATCCCGCCAATCCAACACACCTTCTCAACTTCATCTCTCCAATCTAATATGCCACTCCTCTGACATCACTCCATTCCACTACCCCATACATACAACATGCCGCTACAACGACATACCCACCCCACCATCCCGCTTCCCCATTACTTCGCCACTGCGCCATTCCCATCACCACGACTTCCCGCAGCTCTGTCATCTCGTTATCCCGTTACCACGCCATTCCGCGGCCGCTCCTCTCCCCTTTGACACACACGCCGTTCGCACCACGCTGTTCACCACCAGGTCTGATTTCAATATCCCTCCGCCCTCGCAGCTTTTACGTAGGCGCTGCCCGCTCCACCACCCCGCACCCTTCTCTGCCCCGTCCTCCCTGCGCCCCGCCAGGGCCCTCCCGCATCCGCCTCTGCTCCGCCGCGGCCCCTCCGTCGCCGCTTCCGCTGTTCGACGGAGGCCGAGATGGGGCGCGCGGAGAGACTCGACTGTCAGGAGCAGCCCCAGAGGCCGGCGGGGGGCGCCGCTGCGCCGCGCTGGGAGCAACCCTCCCTCCCCCTCCCCCTCCCCTCCCCTCTCCTCCCTTCCCTCACCACGCTTTCTTTCCGCCGCCAGCCGCTCCTCCCGGCGGCCAACGCCCCTTCTCGCTGCTCTTCGCCTGTGCTCGCGTCGTCCTCTCGGTTCTGGAGCGAATCGTGTTTAGCTTTGCCTTTTATATTCATTCTCTTTTTTATTTCTTGTTGTCCGCCAATTCGACCTCTGAACAGCTTGTGCTCTTTTTTTCTGGTATTCAATAATTATGGTTTTATCTTCTTTTTTGGTATATAAGGTCGCATCAACATCTAGGTTATTAGCGACCACTATTGGATTTAACGTTATGGTAACTGTGAAGATGACATGATATGGTAGTGATACGAAGCACTACTGCCTTAACGAGATCTCGGGCACTCGGGCGCTCGAGGTATCGGCGGCTTTATCTTCTATACTACTTGGTATTTTCTTCAAACATTACTACGGACGTGAGACTGGCTGGTGTTATTTTTACTAGTGGCCTGCAACAACAAAAATGCTGAACAATGCCACAAAATATGGCTTTCCAAAATGTAGCACGGACACTGCTCAAGAACAACGAAGGAAACACCATCTTATAACACTACGATTATTTTAACAAAAACAGTTCTGCACACGTTCTGCAATAATTATTGGAGGATACACTGGTCACAATTTCTTTACATTCCAAGATATCAAAAAGTTGCTGATCCATAATGCTACACGTAAATAGCAAATATTTAATGGTGGCTGCCTCTTGCTTGGAGCCTTGCTGCTACTCGTACATAACGTCGTTGTGGCCTCTGTGTCGAAAACAGAGACGCGCCGAGTATGAGAAATCGGTTCGTAGGCGCAGTTAAGGCATAGGTGAAATAACACAAATAATTACATTTTTCAGTGAAAATCTATTTTTTATTCTTTATTCCGAATCCCTGAGTATCTATCAAAACCAAGGGGATCTCTGTCATGGCCAGAGGCTGCATAGTTTTCTTTCAATTTCTGCGCGCATTGGAAATTAGTAATATATATTATTCTTGGTTTCATTGCGGAAAAATGCCTTATTTTCCACTACTCTTAAGGTACTTCACTAACACTAGAAGCAATTGTGATTACTCAGTGTTTGACCATACGCTATCATATCCATGTATGTGCTTTTTGTCTAGTTCTTTTCTTTCTTAATTCCTAGACTGCCTTCGTGTCGCATTCCTATCTCCCCCGTGCAGTGTCTTCAAATCAGGGAGCCCACTTCGCACCTGGACCGCTCCGCTCCTCTCGGCCCCGCATCTCCCGCGCACTCCCCGCCCTCGCGCCCCGCCCCCGCCGCCGCCCTCGCCGCCGCCGCCCGGCCCTTATCGATCGCATCGCACTCGTTGGCGGCCGCGAGGGGGCGTGGTCGGGGGCGGCGGCGATGCCTGCGGGTGCGGTTAGCGCGCACTCGTCCCCGCACGCGAGCGCTGGGCGCGCCTCTCGCCCACCGCCCACCGCTCACCGCCCATCGCCCACCGCCCATCGCCCGCGGGGCACCGCGCTCCCCGCTTTGCTGCCCCCGACGTCGCTCCTCCTCCTCCGCCGCCGCCGCCCCCGCGCCGCCGCGCCTATTGACCGCTCCGGCAGGAGGACACACGCAGCCAAGATCACCAATGGGCACATAATGTGGCCATTCCCCTTCGTTGCGACGTTTCAATCAGCCCCCGAAATCACAACCAGCCTTTTCATGAGTACTGAAAACGACTTTATTTAATACTGCTGAAGTGATGTTTTATCAGAACCTCAAAAAAATGTATTTCGAATCGAATGATAGTTTTTCGAATTCATTAACATTCTTAGTTGTCTGTATTTCTCTCGAAAGTAATACTTTCTTACCATGGGAAGGACATAGTCCCTTCATAATAACTGGGTAAAAAATTTACCTGCATCTCTAGTTCGCATACATTCCGCAATTATCTTGCTATGTTGAACCTCTACCGTAAGCTCTTGTACAATTTTTAAGAACATGCCGGCTTTTCCTAACGAGCCTGAACTTCGCTGAAGACGCAAAGCCAAGAAGTCCGAAAGGGGAAGCGTCTGTTTTCCTAACTACTACGTAGAATATTTCTGTTCTTCGGAAAGTCAGTCCTTATGGTTTATTTTGATTGAGATTAATTTTTCTCTCCAACACGTGAAATGACGTGAATTGATGCAATTAGGAATTGAAAAGATAAAGATAACTAAGTATCTTTATTCTTAAAAGTAAGGAGTTACTGGTCAACATTCCTTTATTTCCAGACGTATGCATGTTGCAGAAATATTATTGCTGTCAAAGAGAAGATTTCACTCAAGCATTGTATTTTGTGTTTTATATCACGTGCACTCCTAGTTTTTACTCTTAACTAAAGTAAATAACGTATTTCCATTTGATTTATGCACGAATTCCGTTAATTTTGTAATGTCACTCAATATAAATATACTGATTACCATCTTCATGAAAATAGAAGATTGAAGAAAATAAGTAACACGCCCGTTGCCCGATTTTGAATCTAATTATGTAAAACTTTTAATGTATTTTAATAGAAAATAATATGTTTATTAATGAATCTATGTAAGCGTCGAGTGATTATTAAGACATTTTCTATGGAAATGCTAACAATCTTGCAAAAATGAAATATAATGAAGGTCGAGGAAAGAAAATCTGAAATCAAATTTATAAAGCATACGAAACTGATGAGGGTGATTAAATGCAGTCATGCAAATTATCCTTATTAACGTATTGTATAATTTGAAACGCTCGTTTCGCATATTTATTCTTACATTAAACTGTGAGAAAACTGATCGCAATTTTTGCAATGCAATTTCATGAGTGTTTCAATTTCTCTTCATTCGAAATTTCTTTTTATATTAAGTAAATAATAAAACAAAACTTGCATCTTGACGATGAAAGAAATAATTTTACGCATAGCGAAGAAATTTATTACGAAGTGCATAGAGTCTAAACTCAAACGAATTCTGATCTGCGTCGGCGTGATCAGGCCATGCAGCGCACACCTTTTTACTGCAATTCTGGAGCGAATAGTGTTAATCCCGCAACCATTTATCGAGCTTTCAAATCAATACCTCACCTTTGACCTTTTTAATGGCGTATTTGGTTTATATAGTCCCTAACCCTTACAGCGTTGAACTGACAGATGTGAGTTTGCATTAGCACCCCCCCCACCCCCCAGTCACGAGTTTACATGTGTGTCCATCAGCTTTATAAATTCACAATTCACACGTGTTCTTTGTGTCGGGAAAATGATTTATCCTGATTGGTCACGTTTTCATGCCAACAAGGTAGTCAAGTTGCAGACAATTACAGCGCTCAGTCTCTATAGTATGTTCTTCATCCTAATGTTGTCGGTAGAGGTTTTTTCACCCTAGATAGGTAGTGTTGTCTGAAAACGCTGCGTGGTCGAAAATTATAGACGCCTCCTGCTCTGATCGGTTACATCCGTAGGTTTCGCCTATCAATTGAAGGCGGATGCTGAGTGGCTGGATGGGACTGGAGTATCTCATCTTGTACCCATCCTTCGAGCTGAGCAATACACTGGTCCCATTCCCCTTCTCCACCCATCGCCATCGAACCCATCCCCCATGATCTGGAGAGTCTCCGACGCTACTGTATATATTGGAACGCAAGGCCAATGCCGAATATGTGCTGTAATACAATCAGAGGAAGAGGGAAAGAAACAGATTCTAATGAGAAAAAAGTATGCAAACGAAGGTCTCAATGGGCCACATTTCGTTTGGTGACACTATTCTAACTCTGGTGAGTGCTGAGGAAACTAACGGAAACGTCATCCAGGATCTAGTGTCATTGAAAAGCACACCCACGTCCAGATATTTAGCGTATTCATGTCGTTTCGTAAGCGCATTCTCATCCTGTCTTAATCTTACATGCGTTCGTCTCCAAACCCAGCCATTTCGTTCCAGACGCGTGAGAATTCTCATTGCACCCACCGCCGTGAATGTAATCCTGCGCCCTCGGCATACATTTCAATGAATCGACTGCAAATCCTCGAAACTTCTCGAAGTCCACTGGTTAAGGATACCCGTAACCCGTCGCCCCATCCCCCCCCCCCATCCCACCTCTTTGCTTCGTGGATTGGGACGCCCTGGGATTAGCGAAGCACGACGCGCTGAATTACGCGACGGGCCCTCGTGTTTATTAAATGGCTGCGGCCATCCGAGGTCTCCCCTCGGTGGCCCTGGTGATCACGAGGGTCCATCTCGTCAGCCGCCAGGCTTCCCGACGCTGCTCGCTGGCCTCCAGACGCAGCCGTCCTTAGGCGGAAAGTAGCGCGACGAAGCAGTGCGTTCGCATTGGGCCCCTTGGGATTCGAAACGACTGAGCGTAATATTTGCACAGAAAAAGAACGTTTATGCGATGTGTATTTCTTTTCTTTTGAGGCAAGTGCTTGAAAGAATCTGGTAACGCATTTCTTTTAAACTGTTATTTCTGTAAAATTGTTATCAAGTATGAAACGATGTTCATAACTGGCATTGTCTGTTAACTTGTCGAATATTAAAAGATAGTAGTTGACCACCTGCAATAGTGATTTAATTTAATTTACTCAAAAAACAGTAAAATCTGAATATGACGTATGGGGGAGAAGATCTGCGCACATAATCTTGAGCTCCAGAATTCCTTCCCAACATAAAGTGAAAATGTGCTCTAAACATTTTTATAAATATCAATTTCACATCGTGTGTCAGTATAACTTTTACAGGGGCGTGTAGGGCGTGGAATAAAAATCATTACTTTTTGCTAATGAACATACACGTACTGTTAATTTCAAATATTGAAGTTACACATGTATTTGTCCCTAATTGTTAGGAAAACCTCATATTTTGAGTTGTTCCGCTGTTACGTGAAATCTCCTTGACTGCTTCAGAATGTGAACTCCCGAACGTCGGTGCAACAGGAGTTTCAACAATAATTATTCTGCGACATTCAGTATATTAGATCTTGCACCTCTGCTACAAAATTCAAAGAATCCAGCAATAAACATCTTGTAGTCCCTTTATATATTGCCTTCCCTCACACCCCTTGACATCATCACATCTTCGGGAGTCGCAGAGGAATAGGACGTGAAGGAACGCTGTCCCCCGCGCGTGAAAAGACACGCGGCAGTTCACTTAGGGAGGGCCTGGCGAGGCCTCGGTCGTTACCTTAAGTCAATGTTTTTATACCGCCCAATTTCATCAGCCCAGCCGCACAGCGCGGGGGGGGGGAGTTGGGCCGAGACGAGACGAAGTGCACAGTGGCGATGGGAGGCGCGGGGCGGGGGCGGGGCTACCTCCGCGTCACGTGATGGATGGGCCGCCGCCGGGGCGGGCCGCCTGGCGGGGATTGTAATGAAGAAATACGCGCGTCGCGCTAACTGGAAGTTTGTCGCTGACTGGTGCCAAGACACATGGCCTTCGCCAGTTTTCGGCCTCCGGAGCCGGCACGTCTCCTTTTGGGTTGTCACCCGTTTACAATATACGCCCGCTGAATATGCCTTTTGCTTTGAATCGATTACACGATGTGTTTCACAAAACATATAAAGTGGGAGAGCACTAAAATATTAAGAATTTTTGCAACTGCTTTGTTGCCATTCGAAAAATAGAGTTTATTATTTTGTTATTAGTAATTATAAACATGAACCCATAGAAAAAATCGGTTCTGTTTAATCGTTCCTTACATTTGTGTATTGTGAAGGCATGTGTAAGAATGATGCAATATTTTAAATCGTTACGATGTTGAATTAATTGCGAACATTCATTCTTTAGGAACGGCATTTAATCTGTTCCCTCCGAATTTAATATTAATGGTTGTATAAAGATACTTGTTTTGTTTTCCAACTCATTTATGTAATGGATAGACTTAAAATTTGTTGAAATACCTGTCTTCAATTCTTGACATATTCATGTTGCTTAATCAAATTTAGTTACATTGTCTGATATTGTCGAGAATAATGAAACAATATAAAGTGTTCTGATGTAGAGAGATTCTCTTGTTCCATTAGAATTTTTAATTTAATTTTAAATTTTTATTCATTGGACGAGAATATCTATATTTTTCCTTTGTCTAATATTTCTGTCTTTTTTAAATTGTGAAGATTTGGCATGTTGCACAAAAGACCTGGAATTACCTCCAGCTGAATAACAATGAGAGCAGGTTCGTGAGTCAAAATACTGATGTACACAGAATTTAATTCCCGTAAAATCGGCTTTGTTATTCCCCTTTGAAGTAAATAATTCTCATTTTCTATTGCGAGAGTTGGTTTCATATTTTGTTCCTATTATGAAAGTTTCCTTTTAATTAAATATATCTGTTAGGAAGTTAAACTTCATCTTTCACTGCCTTGAATTAATTTCATTTAGCTCTCGAGCGTGTAATTGCCTCAATTGTTATCGATTAAAGTCTGAATTTGATGTAGCCAAGATGAAAATCATGAAAAAAATACTTCGTGTACGTGATCCCAGAAAACACTCTAGTAACCCTGAGTTGGTTGTCATTATTCTGTTGAATTTAGAAATCGATGTAGAGGAAATAAAAAGATACTTATGTTCTTTTTATTTGTGTAGTAATTTTAGGAAAGAGTACTTGGATGAATATTCACTATATCAATTGCAATGAACCATTTATCATGTAAGAATAGAGTTTGAATCTAGCGTTAATAACACCTCTAACTGCTTTTGTAGAGTTTCTTCAAGGGTCAGAAATGTTGCATTCAAATTCTTAATAGCCAGAAACAAAAAGCTTATGTTCGAGGCCTGTAAACAGCGTTTGACAACACAGTTGCACAGAACTGAAGAATGTGATATGTGTTAGAAAATGTGAATTGACCGGGTTGCATAGCAGTTTTGTGGATCGTAAGTGTAGCAAGACAATGCGGTGAATGGCAGCGCAAGATACGGAAGAATATCCTCAAAGGACTGGAGAGTGGGCTCTAGATCTATCTCAAGAAGTGCAGTATTAAAAGAGGTTTAGGATTCACGGAGTGTTTTACCACTTCTTTCATGACAGGATACTAAGAGCAACTACTCCCGAAACATATTTCGAACTGGAGTGCTCAGGATGAGGCAACCCATTTGAAACCAGAGCTGCAATATTATAAGCCAGAATAGTTAGTGTTATTCCTGATCAGAATTCTTATTGTTTTAGTGGTACTAAAACTGATGTTACGCACCTTTTTTACTTTCTCGCTGCCGCATATGCAGTAGGGAGAAAATTATGTAATGCTGCGCGAAAAAACAGCGAATTTTCCGCAGAAAAACTCTGTATTACATGGCTCTGTTAACGAAGAAGTGGATAAATCCAATTGACAAATTTAGAAAAAATCCTCTAAAGCGTGGTGTAGCCAGAATCCATGATTTGTGGGTCCTTGATACCGAACAATTGAATGACGGCAAAACGCCGTCTGTCCGTCTCTGAACAACGGTAGCGGCTAAACCGTTTAGCCGATTTTCTCCAAAATTGACACTCCCCAATTGATCTGGGTGATATCACGTTCCCTTAAATTCGAAACCAATATTTTAATTTTGGGGGTACTTTACATGAAGCTCCTGAGACATTTTCCAAATTTTCAAAAAATGGCTTCATTGTTTTTGAATAAATTTTGTTGTTGTATAGTGAGAAGGACGTTTAAGAGAATGATGCAGGTCTCATGTTCTTTGAAATCCCTGATTTTTCGAAAACTCCAATAGTACAAAAGTTTTTTGAGTGTTCCTACAACTAAAATATGAAAGATATTTTCTCCCTTTCATGAAATTTGATCTTTTTAGATAGATTTTGAAATAAGGTCATGTACAGTTTTTCTAAAATATATTTTTTAATTTATTTCTTATCCGTTCGGCCCTTCGGCCTTTCGGGAGTAATCAATTACAATACATACATTACATGAGGAACTTAACAGTCTCTTCCAGTTACATCAGAGAACAAATAGACTTGCTTGAGCTTATTTTTCAGTCTCTATACAGTTTCTGTTTACCTTTACAAAAATATACAAAATATACCAAAATATGCATTGAGTAAATACCACGCTTGTGAATAACACATACACACAGTTATTACAATTCCATATATAGTATTACCTTAGTACCAGCAATTTATGACGGCTTTAAGCGATCTTTTCGAAAGCGTGACAATATCCTGCATGGGTAATAAGCTGGACGGCCAAGGTTGAAAGTTCTTTTGCTAGGACAAGCTTCAAGCCTGAAAAAAAAATTTCTCGATAGTTGTGTACATTTTAATGCAGCTAATATTAATTCTCTTTGGATTTGTGCATTAGGAATAAACCAGGGGTGCTTTTTCTAAAATATGAGTACTTTTAGCGTGAAAGTACGGGCGAGAGGGTACGTGCTGTCGTAGCACCACTAGTTCTTCCTGACGTTGACGGGGCCTCGTTGTCATGCGCAGGTGGACGTGACGGAGCTGTGCCCGTCGCCGACGTTGCTGGCCCAGCAGCTCACGCACATCGAGTTGGAGAGGCTGTCGTACATCGGGCCCGAGGAGTTCGTGCAGGCCTTCGCCAAAGACAACCCGCACCTCGAGACCTCCTTTAAGGACATGAAGAAGACGCGCAACCTGGAGTCGTATGTGCAGTGGTTCAACCGACTCAGCTACTTCGTCGCTACGGAAGTGTGCAAGGTACGTGTGATATTACACAAAAAATAATTGTACATAATAATTACTTCTTACAAATAAAAATTAGACAAAGAATGTGCACTAAAGTCTTCAATAAATGGTTTATCATATTTTTTCTTTATTTTTTTACTGGTACTATTTTTTATCTTATAATATAAACAGGTCTTCAAAAACAAAATCACAGATTCTAATCATAAATTTTCTAAACGCTCTATTGCACAAATGTGAATAATGTAAAACACAAAAATATAAGCTGATTTGTAATTCATTTTAGGTGTTTTGTAGCTTTAAGATAAAAGTTAATTGTAGAATTCGGTTATTTCATTTTGTAATCAATGGATTCTTGATCTTCATTATACCGATCAGTCTTCGGGACATATTCAGATATCAATACCCGATCGAATCTTTGATCATTATTGACCTCTTTTAAAACACCATCAAACCGTCGGGGGAGTCGATACCGGCCCTGTTGTGAAGCCCTGATCTAAGACCTTCAGGTCATGCTGTCAGATAAATTTTTTTAATGGATTGTCATATCTAAAAAATAAATCTACAAACTATTTTTAATGGAAGGGCGGTTATTTTTTCCCATTAACTTTCACAATCTAATATGTTCTAAGCCATGTGTATGCATAAAGTAGTTATTGCTACCGTATGATTCTGTTGCGTCGATTTGTCGTTTAATAATTTCGCTGAAAATGCTTATTTATGTTTAATATTGAATGGTGTTTAGCGCGAGCATAATTCATTCAAGACTCTAATTAATTTCTAAAGTCCTGTACAGGTATTGCACGTTAGGCCTTGTATTGTGCTCGTAACTTTTAATATCCTGTTAAAATTGCCGGCGTGTACTTTATATTATTCTGTCATAACATCGGAAATGATTTCATAGGTATGAAAATGATTGTGAGTATTAACACTCTTATGTGTGCATTTTATTAGTTTGAATATCGGAAAAACATGAATAGGAGGGGGAATATGTATTTGCCGACAAATGCAATACATGCCTTGCTTATGACAGGTGTGCTGGAATTATATTTCCGAATTTTACTGTCGATTCAAACGCCGTGTGAAGTGTTTGTTTCCGAAGTTCTACCTCATTTGGAACTATTTTTTTCCTGTCTTTGCGTTACACATTTTTTCTAAGTTGACGCGTATCTCAAGGAAAAAAACATGCTTCTTCTCTCAGTTACTTGAATTCTTTGTCAAGGTGAAGTTACAAGACTTCTAGAGCCAAGGTACTTGCCAAGCCAATTGCCATTGTTCACTACGTTTTTCCCAATAGTTCATCTAGTGCATATTAAAGAAAGGCTTGCGTACCCGTGCAAGAACTCTTGCATATTAAATTCCCCATTCTTTCCTGTCATTACATGTCCATATTAAGGAGGACATATGTTAACTAAACGTTTAATTCTTTAAAAATGTATATAAACATCTACTGACCCATTTACATTTTTTTATGCAAGGTCCTCTTATTCTCCGTCACGGGTTCTATTTGTTTCCTTGTAATTGTTAACTGAACGTATTTTAACATAACGCACGTCTGAATGGGTAGGGTAGTATCGAGTATCGCCCAATCAGCAAAAATGAAATAGAATGTCTAAGAAGATGTATTCCTATAGACAACTATATGAAGAACGTTTATTTAAGGCTTACGGCTTCAAACCTCCTGGTGTTAAGGTTCTAGATCGCTTATTTTCGTACATAACTACATAGATTTTACAAATGCTGCCAGAGTGATGCGGGTTGCATTTTACCATAATATTTATATGCTTTTTTCAACAAATCTTTCACGTTATTAAAGCAAAACTGCAATTCGTTACGTCTCCATGAAATTCTCTTTCTTTCCGAGGTCTCATATATAAAGTTTTGTTGCGAATGAGAACCTCACCTATCCCAAATATATATAGAGGATAGAAGATAATTGTTTAGCATCCGTGTGATCAATTGATTGTCAGCTACCAAAAGATTGCTTCATGTATTGGTTGAAATCTAAAAACATCCTTAAATCGCGTATCGAATCTAAAACACTCAAATCAGTTGTAGCAAGCTGAAGGTTCACCAAAGCCGTCAAAACTGTAATTTTGAACCAATAATGTCACTTCTAATTTCTGGTACACTGTTCCTCTTTTATTTCTCTTTTGCGCTTCGTATCGGAGTTTCATTCCTGCAATTTATCGTGCGTTGCAAACTGCCAGTTTATTCCGTCCCGCTATGTCCATTTCAATTATTAACATTTTTTGCGCCATCGAAGAGTTGCCGTTGTTTTCCGAGTAATTGAATCAGCGTTGTTCCCCGAATGTCGGTGGCGTGGCTCCCGTCTCGCGGTGCCAGTTTAAAATCACATTACGGCTGGGTCGCCATTAAACATTCAACGGAAACGTGGCCAGTCTGCGGCTGCTACACGTGATACTCTAATTTACGGCGAGCAATGGCGGTCTGCACGTTTCAAATGTACCGTTTACTAATTAACGCAGAATTGATATTTTAAATTCATTATTTGATTCTGTCATTTTGCTGGAACCATGCAATATCCTGTAAATAGGTTTCCATGTTTCTGTTGTATATGAGTAGGTATCAATTTAGAAGTTTCTATTTTTTACTGTAACTATGAACCATATATTCATTCATTATATCAATAAGCCACAATATTTCACTTCAGGCCTGACTTTGGACAAAATGTGTTCCCTTTTTTTACTAGTCAGCACATAAATAAAATGAAATGAATTTTACTTTCCACTAAAAAAGCCTGTCCATGTTATTATTGTTGGTGACGCATACGTCTTCTCTCAACTGTATGGTTTACGTTCTGAACGTTTCAAGTGATCAATGACACAACTGTTTGCTCATACAATGCTAATGGCAATGTCGCAGCACGTGAAGAAGAAGCAGCGCGTGAAGGTGATGGAGTTCTGGATCGAGGCTGCGCGGGAGTGCTTCAACATTGGCAACTTCAACTCCTTGATGGCGATCATCGCGGGGCTCAACATGTCACCCATTTCGCGCCTCAAAAAGACGGTGAGTCAACTTTCCATTTGTCGGTGTTGTAAGATGATATAGTTATGTATTGTATTTCTCGGATTATAGTTAAACGAAAGTAAATTTGTGAATTCCACGTCATGTTTATGAAATTATACTATGCGTATATTTTTTGCGACGTAGCAAATTTTTAAATAGTGTTTGACTTCAGTCCTGAAGGTCCACGAAATATTAACATTATGAATTTTAATTGATTGAAACCCTATATGCGTCCATTTAGTTATTTTCATAATTTTTAATAGACTAAATTAACTTTATCAAGTTTTTTGTTCATATACTGTTAAATTATACAGCATTATCTAAAATACTGTCCTTTGTTTTAAATATTCAAAAATGTATATTATTATACAGTTTTGAACAATCTCTCATGATAGTCATAGAGGACGTAATTCCTACCGGCTATTTGGCCTTTTTTTTCAGTCTTCCCCTAACACACGTTTTCGAGACTTAAAAAACTTTGTATCCATTCATCTGCTCGGCGTCCGCAAGTTTTGGGTTATTTAAGGTCTATCAGTCGCCGTATTTCTTTCCGGGAATACTCGCCTTTTCCTTGCCATTCCTCACGCTTCTTGCCCCTCGGGCAGGTGACATCTGCCAGTCGCCAAGGAGACACCGCCGGCGAAAAGTTGCTAGTTCATAAATTATCCTGGCCCGAGTCCAAATGCGGGCGGAGAAACTTTTCTCGTAAGAAGAGCCTTCCCTGCCGTCACAACACTCCCATCCCTGTACCAGTGGAAGCCGAGCCCGTCATGCACGTTGCGAAGTCTTTTGTTGCCTTCGTTGCCTTGAGTATGTCTCTTGTAATGGTTTCTGTCCACAAATCCGATCCGCATTTTGATTTCACCGCTGAAAGACTTTGTCACGGCGTGATGTTACTCTTGTACCGCAGACCAAGCCTTGTTAAAAACTGTTAACAGTTTGTAGACGAATGTTTATCGGCCGAATTAGGAGTCGGCGTTGTTTGAGTCATTGCGACGTGGGCAGTGATGGGCACGTATCGACCCTTACACTGCGTCCTTCATTCGCGTTTGCTCTGAGGTCACGTTATATCGCCCGAGACGTAGGCAAAGTATCTAACGCACGGTGAATCTCAAAATTTCAATAAACAGTCGAGTTACAAACCCAACAAATTATAGTACATTAATTCAATCAATAACGATTATATTACTAAACTATTTCCCAATTTTGTGTCTCATACATTTTGAAAAAATTATTTGTCCTTCGATCGTTTAAGTGATACCACTACGTCTGGAGTGGGTGGGCAGAGGCTCTGTAATGAAATGCATAGACAAGTCCTGGCAGCCCACTCAAGAAACATGCTTCAGGATCAAATAATTTCTTGAGTCCCATTTCAGATCTTCGCAGCTGTTTAATTTCCTTTCTAAACACTTAGCCATAATCTTCTCTTTTAGTTGGCACTGTCTTATCAAAGTCATTTTTGTTAGCATTTCGTCATTCCCTCTTTCCGGGATATTTCTTCGAGCTCTATCCTCCTTACTCGTCTCTGAGCGCTTTATCATCCATTCTCTTGTTTTGCCAGTTCTTTTCTTTTATACTTCCTCGGAGTTCATTCAAGATCCGGCACTTTATCTTCCTCTTAAAGCTAACTTTCGTTTCGGCTGGAGCACACCCAAAGTACCGAGACTGAGTAATCGATGGAACGGATTCTTTTTGCCGGTCCGAAGCACCTTGGCTTTTCTCCGCCACGCCCCCTGCGCTGTGTTTCGCACAAGTTGCGTCTAGACTCGACGCAAGTACTGTTTCATGGACGGGAGCCCTGTAACTCGGGGAATGTCTGCATCTCCGCTGCGCTATCGCAGGAATTGACGCAGGGAAAACTTCCTGTTGCGAACTCCGGATGCATAGCGCTCGCCAGTTTTGTTTTGTGCCATAAAAGCACTACTACGCTGAAGACGTATACGCCTCTCGAAACTGTTGGCTCTTGCAATGCTTTTAGGGAACTGTTGTGTTCTCTGAGCAAATTGAAGCCCTCTGTGTAATTACATTTGCATGATGCATTGTTATATCCTTGATGGAAGTTAATCCACCTCGAGATTGAAAATCAGTTACAGAAATCGTAATGAGAAAGATCTGGTTGTCGGCAAATCTTAATATTGGCATTTTGTTTCCCTACATTTTCTAAAAGATTATTAATACGGTACTATTTTACAAGAGCATTTCAGTTCTATGCACGCAACGCCTTTAAAAAGAGATACCTTGCTTTACGACAGAAACGTTTAGTGTGTCAGCAGCTACATATTTAATCTCGCTTGTTATAGTAGGTAGTACACAAACACGAGTGCAGAGATTAGAACAACTGGACCGGCAAACATAAAACTGCAAAAACGCGCAACGTACCTCCGAGTGGTTAGCAAACGCACACATGCACTTACTGACTCATACGCCCGCACACTCTGACACTCGCATGTTAAAACTTAAATAGTCTGACGTAAAACAATCGTAGTCGGCACCTTCCGCTCTGCGTGCAACATTCCTTGCTTGAATTTTTACAGGTGCTTTCACATCGACCTGGCAGTTTACGTCAAATTGCGACACTGTAACCCTAAAATGTAACTGTCTACGCGTTCTCTCCTCATAAACATTTAATTATTTGACTGCATCGCCAGCTCGACGTAAACCGCGCCCGTAACCCGCCCGAACGGCAGCTTAACGCCTTGGCGCGTGTCGCGGAACGCGCCAAAGAAGGGCGGCGCGCGGCCGGCGCAGCGGAAATAAACGTTCTTAAGCGGACGTGAAAGCGCCCGTCGGCCGCTGACGACGATGATCACTAATTCATCGAGCCCTTTAATTGGTGCTCTCTCGCGCGACCGCCGTTTCGCGCCCATGTTATTGCGGCTGCGCGGGCGGAACAGCCCTTGTAGTGAGTCGCGTGGCGTACGTGTTTTTTTTTTTTTTTTTTTTTTTTTTTTTTTTTTTTTTTTTTTTTTTTTTACGATGAGAGCGGGTTAATGGTGGAGGTTGGCGGCTTTATGTGAGCACGGAAGAAGTGAGATGTTTATCACAGCGAGGAGGTGTGGGGAGTGATGTGTACGGCGTGATTCTAAGTGCAAGCCTTACGAAAGACATCGTAAGAGAAAATTGTTCTTATGAGATGAGAATAGTGTGCATTTTTCATTTTTTTTTTCTTTTTTTTTTAAACATGCCGTTGAATAATTTGTAGTATTTAACTCAATGAATGCTTCTGTACGTTACTTATTTGTTTGTTTTAGTTGTTTATTTTGTGTTTAATTTCAATTGGCTACAATTAGCGAAAGTAATGTTTAAGTCGAAAATTTACATAAGTTGAAAGCTTGAAATTCAAAACAGTTTTATACGTGCAAAGAAATACACTATTAGTATTTTGCAAGAGGGAAAGAGAGAGAGAGAGAGAGAGAGAGAGAGAGAGAGAGAGAGAGAGAGAGAGAGAGAGAGAGTTATAACAATCACGTACGTATTTTTCTTCACGTACAATATTCCAAGCGAATCTCAGGAATTCGAATGGATGCGTTACAACCAGTGCGTGCACGCAAGGATATAAGTACGGGCGGTGCATTTATCCGGGAGGAAGCGTTGACGGGGCCGGAAATTTGCTTGCGAACGCCTAATTACGCGAGTTGAGCCCACGTGAGGGCGTGGGGCACAGGGAGTGAAAACTCGAGGGTAACGGACGCGTTTTGACTGCTCTCTAGGGCGTGACGTAGCGGCCTTCGATAAATTGATCCACCGATTTCAGATATCATACGGGTGAAAGACGAACTTTTGTTCTGGAACATGTAATCATTTCCTTTTCGAATTTTTTGCGCTGTTTGAACTAATCGTACGCTTTTATCGATGGATCGAGAATCAGACTAAGGCAGTTTTTCTAAGTTTAAAACGATGAAAATCATTTGTATGCCATGAAATGTGCCAGAAACGACTCGCAAGATTTTGTTCAGTTATATTTCCACGCTGTACTTGTTCTACCATTTTGTTACTATCATCATTATCATTATATTCCCGTATTGATAAAACATTTTTGCACGAGCACTTTATTTTAAGATGATACAGCCCTCATTTGATTAATGATAATAACCGCATATTCAGATGTGGCTTCTATACGCCAGATGAATAATTCTGTAGATTGTTTAATAGATTTTGTGGTTTTACATATTAGCTGTTTAGAGTATTGGGATTTTACCTCGCCATTTAAGAAATTTCACGATTTTCTATACAGAGCAAAAACAATGTTTGCATGTAGAGATTGTTTCTATTAGTTCTATAAACCCATTATATTATCTCGTCTCATTTTGGTCAAATGAAAATACAATCACTGATGTGAAACAATCAGATCACACTAATATACAAGCTTCTAAATTACTTTGCTTTTATGACCAGTCAGAAAGTTACGTTTCTCTATTTCTGGGGCATATTCTTCAAAATACATTCTGAGAATAAAACGTGAACTTCGTTTTCTTCTCGGCATGAAATATAAAAGTAGTTTTATGTAGAGGTCAACTTATTGTTCGTTGAGAAATAGTTCAACATTTAAATCTTCATCGTATCGTACAAAGAAGAACTCGAGTTGTGAATGCATCAGTGAACAAAGATTTATAACTCAGTACCCGCATGCATTGTAAACGGAATAATCTTGAGAACGAGTGGGAAATTTAACATGCTCATGTACTCGGTAAAATTAGATTCTTCGAATTAAATACCTTAATTGTTTTGTTACTTTTTTATAACATTACATATCTTAGAAAAACTAGGAACACAATATTATGTTCGGTTGAATATTTAGCCCGAAAAGCTGGAATTTGAATTTAATTTCCTAGGATCTGATTTGATGTGTATATTATTTTTGTTATAGTTGGATAAACGCTTCAGATGAAAATGGTTGAGAATAATGAAAAACATTACACTGTGTTACAAAATATGGTAGTGATGTACTTTGGAAATCACTTTCTCGAGGTTATTATCTAGTAGTTTCGAAAACGACTGTCAATAAAAAATGTGCGTGATAGTTAAAGTAGACTTCACATGATATACAGTTACTTTACTCGTTTAATAAAATATCGTGTCAAGTTTCAAATTACCTAAATCTTAAATAGTTCGTATACTGAGAAAATAAGTGTTTGGAACAAAAGTTCCCATATAACTTCCCCACATAACGTATTTTTATCTTAATATTAATTTAAGCCGTTGGAGGTGGTAAGCCGAACGCCGCGTTAGTTGAAAACGATCTTTCTCGGCCTGGGCGTGTACGGGCGGTTCGCGTTGCCAATGCCCGCGCTGAGCCCCGAGCCGCAGAGCGCAGCGACGCGCCGGCCGCACGAGCAGCGTAAATCGCTTGCTTTATGGGCGCCGTTATCTCTGCGCGCGACGCCGCCCGAGCCCCTCCCCTCTCCAACGCACTGCTTCGCCCTCTGCCACCCCTGCCGCCCCCACAACTACCACCACCACCATCACAACTACTATCACTACCACCACCACTACTACCACCACCACTACCACCACCACCACCACCACCACCACTACTACTACTACTACTACTACTACTACTACTACTACTACTA